AGAGGCAATCCATCTAACTGGACAGACATACTGTAAGTAAGCTTGCATTCAAATACGCAGATGTGTGTAGTGGAAACCACTAGCATCAGCACAGCTACACATCTAAGTAAAGCAGGTGTGTAACTTGAGCATATGAATAGATGTTCCTTATCAGAAGGTGCACATGAAGATGGTTGTGTAGAAGGAATGATGCCTAACAGAGTCAAAGACAGCTAATAAGGACAGAAGGAAAGTCTGAAAATATGGGGAGAAATTGGAGAAACAGCAGCTGTGTTTTGGACAACACAAAATATTCAAAAATGTTTCTCTTAAACAGCATTATATTTATGCTTTCAAAGAAATTCTCTGGCCATTGCTGTTCCCTATTCTTTAACAAGGTTAACTTTTCAAGGAATTACATTTTGTGCCGTATAGAACCTTTTTTAACAAGAAGGATCTCAGCTCAGTGCACCTGCTTTTCATAATTGCAAACTTGCATGCAGGTTAAGTGGCTTATAGTAATAAAGTTGTCATTAATACCATGTGCATACCCTCATTACTTGTTTTTCAACATCATTTGCATATCTTAACATGCATTTAGTGCATATTAAGTGCTTGAAAATTTACACATCATCTGAGTTTTCCCATGTGTAATGAAGCTTTCAGATGCTTAATATGTGGCTTACATGCTTTTATAAGTACCTTCGTGAATTAGGGTTTATTTATCTTAAATTTACCTATCCAAAATGTAACCTTTTGATGATAGTGTACTGCTAATATTTGAGATGCGTAATAAAGGTACAGTACAAAATTACCTAAATGGTGGAGAACAAACAGTGAAAGAAAGAACATGATATATAATGATAAAACCAGGGAAAAAAACATCCACATCTACATGGGTCAGTCAGACCTTTAGTAAATAAAAATTAAATTAAATAAAATATAAAATCTGATTTCATAAAATGGGTCTCTCATCAACTCGGTGATACACACTGATGATGAACTTATAAGAAGTCAAATTAGATCTGCAACTCTTGCCAAAGTTTCTTTTTACGATCCCAATTAGTGAGAATTGCACCACACTGGTGGTCTTTCCTCAATACAGGACATTTTAACTCATCCGTGAAATCCTTTGTCACTGGGCTACAGAATGATAAAGATTTAGCCCCTGCAACTGCTCAGCTGAAGTCAACTATCTCAGGCTTGCTGCCTTTCAACACACACATTCCCACTGCCCCATAATTGATCCTCTTAGATCATTAACACCATATCAGACAGGCAGGCTCCTGGTGGCAGGCTGGTTCAAAGAGAATGGCTACAGTACGTGCAAACTGACCCCCCAGCTCTGTCTTCTTCATCAGCCACCTCTGCCCTGGAGGAAGGCCCGTGGAAAAACACTTTATTGCACATGGGGTCATTCAGTGCATTCAGTTCAAAACTGTACTTTTAACTTTTAAAGCCCTACAGACCTCATGTACCAAGCAGGGTTTTAAGCACCGCTGAGGCACATTGTTAAGCAGTATCTTCTTACTGGTACAAGTATCTACAGTACCTCAGTTTGGAGCTACCTCACTCCAAACTCTGGAACGCACTCATCGCTTCTCTGAGAAATGTAAACTATTTGATCGTTTTTAATTCTAGATTCAATACATATGTGTTCAGTCAGGTTTTCCAGTTTTTTTATTATTATCTCTATCTTTATTTCTTCATTTCTGTTTATGTTATTTTAATTCTCTTTTTTGAGTGCTTGTGATTGTACCCAGTAAAGTGTCCCACAAGCTGTTGGTGTGCATGGGCACTGAAATAAATCCTTGTAATTTCCAAGGCTCTTGAACTTTATTACAATATTACAATCTGTTCCTCAGACTCAGATTATTATTTTTCTTTATGTTTCTACTCTGACTAATTAAACAGGAAGTAATAACTAACAATAATAAGAGTCATTTCTGGAAAGAAAGAATAAAACACTCATGAAAGTTTAACTTACAATTAATCTGGCCTTGTTTTAGCCATATAGAACTGCAACACTATATCAAAATGGCTTACATCTAGCCTATCTTGTTTTTTGTCAAGGATGTCCAGCACCATACTAATTCTGGCAAACAAAATATTAGTGAACAATGCTTAAGTGACCCTATTATTTGTTTAAATTCCCATCAGAACTAATAAATACATATGACATTAGACTCCTGATTATATCATATTCTGAGAGTCTTTCTTGACGGGCGATCTGCAGGGGAACAGAGCCATTTGCCTGAAGGAGATGAACTGGTTGTACTTTGTTCTGACAAGTGGGTCAGTGTTGAAGTGGGAGGGGGAGGACTTTTTCAGCAGTAACAGCTGAAAGTCTGGGATCATAAAGACCTAGGAGCAATTTTAGCCAACTCCATTAAGAGAACACAAAAAACATCTCAAGAAAAAGAAAACAGCACTGGTTTAAAAAAAAACATTGGTTTAAAGTGGAAATTCTAAATTATCTGGAACTGTGTAAATGATATAGTGGTTCAACAGTTGGTTTTGCAGAAAGTCTACCAGTTTCACTTCAGGGCCACAGAAATGGACTTATACAAGTGACCCAAGAAGTGTTTGCTGAAGACTCTTGGGTCATCACCATAAATCCATTGCTTCTTCTCCTGCTACGGGTGACTCCTGGTGCTCAAATCTAATCTATTCTGGCACAGAGAAACTGGATAGAAAGCAGACAAAGAACCCAGACCACTACTGTGTGATTTCCACAGCTGAAATTGAGCTGTTACACAGAGAATGAGAATAACCAAAAATACGAGAGGTGCCATTTCTCCTTTAAAATAATCCCAAACCGTCCAAATTGATTTAAAACAAATGACATTATTTTATAAGGATTACATAAAACATATAAGGTTTAGATGGCTTTCTACCATATTTGGTCAATTGCTTAGTTCAGCACAAGCACATTGCAGCTGTGTACAGTACATGATGATGCTATTAATTAAACTTGGCTTCTGAACATCCTCCATACCCTATCACCGTGAGCATCAAAATTGTTAACAATACATGCTTTAATTAAATCATAAATTTTAAAACAAGAATCTCACATTACGTAAATGCGTTTGATGTACTTAACCCCAGATTGAAAGGTTTCCCTCGAGGTTGCAATTAATGCCATGATGACACAGGATGAAGGGCTGCTCCGTGATGAGCTTTTCAGGACTGAACATGAACTTTTCAAGCTACTTAATGTTATGTTCACTGCCCATACAGAAACGATACATCATGTGCATTATAGACTAATTCCTTTTCAAACATGTTACTCTTTGATCCTTTTCCAAAGAAAAACCAAAAAGGAGCTGAAGGGAACCACTTATATTAAATGCCAGTAAAACATATACACCGAAATGCTAAGATATATTGAGGAAAAAACAACAGCAATTGAAACAATTATTCAATTATTCAAATTTCCATAACAAACACTAGATCATTATCAGAAATATGTAAAAACATTGTGGTTTCCCACACGTTTTAAAACAAATGGGAGCTCTATTCACAAACTAGATCTCAACCGGGATTAATGTACAAGCAATATATACAGTAGCTTTATCTCCAGCAAGCAAGCAAAATGGAGCTCAGGTGCGTCCTGCACTGGTCCCATTAACCTCTCTCATCTATTAAATTACACTGCCTGGTTCAGATTTCCACTTACGCTTCAGGGGAAACGCGTCGTGTAAGGTCTGTGTTTTATGGTAATATATTTAATGTGCATAATCTATCTCACAACTAGCAACAATTAATGAGGTCCTCTACAAACAAGTAAGCAAATTGGTAACATTCCTTTGGGGATTTTTCAAGTCTATTAAATTGATGGCTCTGGAATGCTGGCATGCAAATACAGTGTATATAAGAGACAGACAACAGCAGCAGAGAAGCATCTATAAGATTCAGCATTAACAATAATACATATAGTAGTACCAGCTTAAACATCTTCTGATCAAATGTCTTTGATAATGGACACACAAAAGAATCAAAACCAACTGTTAAAAATATCTTCATCAAGATCTACAGAAGACAAATTCTTCTGAACTGTATGTGCCTTTTAAAGGTCGAAGGTACACTTTAATCTTTACTGTATGCATTAATATAGTATGGCTCATACTGTCACAGTGTAGTTCAATTGTAGTATGAACAGCACAAACTTTCATTTGTACCAAAAAGGGACATTTTTTCTTTATTTCATTGAAAGTATTTTTAGAGCTTTTAGCATTTAGTCTTCCTTGTTCACTTGGAAGCCATATTGGACATTCTGATAGACGTGCACAGCTAATCAATGGTATTTTTACCTCAATGTCCTTGAAACACCTGAGACTAAAAGGTAAATGAGCAGTAGACTAAACACAAGAGACTGTAAGGGGAGGACAGACTAAAGGAAACAAAAACACACCTGCGTGAAGTCTAAAACATTTTACTGCAGTACTCTGGGGGAATATTCCTCAACATAAAAGGAAAAAAAAGGGTTGCCCTTCATTGACAAATCACATCTTACCATTACAAAACAATTCTCAGATGTCCCTACAAAGATATCATCACTGAAATTCAATGGAATGCTGTTTAAAATACATGACCCCACTTCTGGCTCATAAAGCACTCTGAGGAGTCACCATGAAAAAGCTTTTGGAAAATAAAACAGCACTGAGACATTAAAGCAAAAAAAAACATGGAACCCCCTCCCACCCCACAACAACTGAAGCCGAAAAAACCAAGCCTGCGTTCTCTTGAATGTCAGTGGGGTTGTGGGCAGGTCAGCATCAGATTGTCATGAGGAGATATTATGCATCTTACTGAAACCTAAAATAACTGTTCAGCCTCCTTCATGTTTGTGCACCAGACAGAGAGCTTGCGAACAGAGGACCAGGGTAAACGCTAATTCTGTCAACCATTACAAACCTAAAATGGGCTGACACGACTGTTGGTTTAAAAATAATCAACCTGGTGTTCAGCTCTCAGAGCAGCAGCCCGGAAAGAAAAGCAGAAAGAGAGGGGTGACGTACCTGTCAGCATCCCCCACCCCCATGGACGCGTTGCGCTGTAAGGTCTCTCTCACAGCAGCCATGCCATCGGGCAGGCGGTTCAGCCGGCGTGTGTACAGGCCCAGTCCGCTGTCCGTCATGTAGCTAGACAAACAGACACACACCCCGTCAAACACAATGTGGCATTTTACACGGCTGACTTAAATCAAGAACAGGGATAAAGTGTACATTTGATGTAGTTGTTTTTGGAATTCTTTTTTTGTACTTCTGAAATCCAAGACCAGAGGTCAGACTAAAAACATGATTCCATCTCCCCAGTTGACGGTGAGGGACCTTCTCTGTTTGAAAATGTAGCCTAAGTATTATAAACACTAAAAACCGTGAGCTGGCTTTATCATTCAATGCTGTTTTGGTAGGCTAAACAATGCAGAAAAAAATGTTATTTCCACAGCAGACAAAGACGCATGCAACATTCATGAGTCATGCTTTACTTGTAAGATTGATTACCATGACATTTAAACTTGATACATTTGAGCGTTGCATTCATTTTCACTGAGCTTTTGCTTTCACATTTTGTGCCACCACAGAAAAAATTGCATCACTGTTTAAACATGAAGCTTTCTGTCCATGACTTATTAACCACTGTATGAAATTTACAGCGAATTAATGTTTTTTACAATGTAAAAAAAAGATACTACCAATATAAACTATTCTGAAGGAAACAAATAATGTATGAACATTTTTGATAAACTAAGTTGCTTGTAAAGGGCTATTTTCCCTTTAACTGCACAATCTTTTAAAACATATAGCTCTTAAAAGCTACGGTTAATGGGCTTCTGCTGGAAAACCTCTGATCCATTTCAACTTGAAGTAATTATCTGATTGATACCAGGGTCTGAAGTTAAAGAAATATGGGGAAAAACATAAATGTTTTATCAACAACACTGAGGGATTCCTAGAATCATTTTTCACACATGCATGCAAACACGAGTGTCGTTCATTTAAAACAGACAAAATATTTTGAGCATGCATGTGCAAACTTATTTTTCTTTAAAATGTAATATGAATTACTTTAATATAAAGTATACAAAATTTTAGATAACTTTGTTTTAATGATGAAAGAGTACTGAGGTGCTTTTAGTTAAAATAAGAATAAATAAGCAGGAGTTTTTGGCAAATCAGCTTTTAACAGTACTTCCACCAGTACCAGAAAGTGAATTCTTTGTAGCATTTTGTAACTGACCTAAACATGCTTAATTAAAATAAGATTGCACTATGGGTGCCTTTTCCACTTTCAAAGTAATGAGATTCAAGTTGCATTTTTAAGCACTGCTCCTTTGTATGAGGTCTACAGTATCTAATCTATCTAATCTTTTAATCTTTGTCTTCCTCGTTAGTATAGTGGCAAGTATCCCCGCCTGTCACGCGGGAGACCGGGGTTCGATTCCCCGACGAGGAGTAGCTTTGTGGGCGGAGCGGTGGCTCTGTGGCTCAGGATCTGCGCCTGTGACTGGAAGGTTGCCGGTTCAAATCCTGCAGCTGGCAGAGGGATCGTACTCCGTTGGGCCCCTGAGCAAGGCCCTTCACCCCAACTGCTCCTGGGGCGCCGTACAATGGCAGACCCTGCGCTCTGACCCCAAGCTTCTCTCCCTGTCTCTGTGTCTGTGTCTCCCTGGAGAAAAGCTGGGGTATGCGAAAAGACGCATTCCTAATGCAAGAAATTGTATAGGGCTAATAAAGAAACGTTATTATTATTATTATTATTATTATTATTATTATTATTAATCAAACCTACCTAAACGTTAAATGCTATAGCACATACGCCAAAATCCCATTAGAATAGAGTACATCAAAATGGTGTGGTGTCTCGGCTTTTCTCCAGGAAGTCTGAATACATTTCATCCATCATAGCACATCCTACTTTTATAACAGTCACTGACGTAAGCATTGGGACACTCAACAGTCAATAATGTTACTCACAAAATAAGTGTAATAAATATTTTTTAAGCTAAACTTGGCAATGACGTCTCTTTTATGTTCCTCAGTCCTTACCAAGATCATGTCAAGAAGTTACATGCAGAATTAGAAGTCTCTTTAGAAGGGTTTACTTTACAGTGTTGAGAAACAGTTGAAGCTCACGGTTACTTAAATATTCCAATATTTGTGGTGACTTCTGAGAACACCATAACTCTGTGATTTGCTTCTTGGAAGACCCACATTAAGCCTGTTTCACTGGACAAGACACAGCCATAGCACTCTTAATGAGCCATAATATGGGTAACACAATGTCTGTGGTTCTTTATAAATATATGGAAAGCAGAATTGGACATATTTTAGGGACATAGAAATCTGCTTTTTAGCATTGTGAACCAGACAGAGAAGATTTATCCAATAATTCACATAAACATGGACATACTTAGCAGTAGACTGAGATTGATTCTTTCAGATCAGCAAAAGACAGAATTTTTATTATAAATCCCCGTGTTAATCTGTTGTGCTGCCTGAAGCATATTGAAGCATTATTCATGTCACTAGCTAAAAACATTTTAAAGACACTTTTCTGCAAACACAACAAAATTTACTTTAATCTTTCAACACTCCTGTCTACAGAAAGGAGCAGCAGGAAGCTAAAAATGTGACTTTTTTATAAAAAAATAAATGTAAATAAATTCATAACCCAGGCCAAAATCATTAAACTTATTCCACAATAGCAAGCCAAAAATCATATAAATTCACCGTGAGTTATTTTCCTCAATAGGTGAGTTTCTTGCCGTGTTTTGTTTCACTTGTTTGTGCAATACCTTTCCTAGTAATAACACACCCTCTTTCACAAAAGCTTCAGGACAGGAAGCAAACAGCACCAGTATTATGGAAATGACCCTTCGTGACAAAGCTCTTTGTGAAATTTAGAAGAAAATGTGTAAATGGTAAACACTTGAGGTGTTCATAAGATCATTTTCTAACAAGTATCTATGGTAATCAGTCTACGAAACTGAGTTCATTTCCCAATTTCAGCTCTACATTACTGCAGAACACGAAAACAACATTTTTGCCCCAGGTTCATCAAATTTCCACACTCAACTGAATAAATTCTATACGTAACGGTCAATTAGAATAAATTGCGTAATTTATCACACAAAACGAAATATAAACTGAACGAAATTATGCCTCGCAAAACAAGAAATACAGGTAACAAATACTGTTTGACATACCTTTCTGCATTGAACATCACAGCAATCTCAGAATACTTTTAACTCCTTGTAGATGAGATTCACGTTTTACAGAAGATGCACCAACTGAGAGGTCCAAAGTGTCAGTACTGTAAATCCCATTAATACACGTCAATCCTGGACTTAATCCTATCTTCAATTAAGTGGCTCTGTTTGGAATATTAACCACTCCTGCTCCATTTACCAATCCATGTGCTTCAATCTAATGAGTGCAGGAATGTGAGCTCTGCGTCTCTCCACACATCTTTGTCACTGTGCTGAGTGGCAGCTGGCTGGGAAGACCAGCCCCAATTACTCCCACTAATGTGTGTGAGCTAGGAGGAGGGGATGCCTGGGGTAAGATCTGAATCACCTCAGCAAGTTTGTGCAGTTTTAACACAGCAAGCACAGGCAAGGAACCTAGAGGGGCACGTGGAAGAAGGTGTCATTGAGTTGATGGGGGATGGATGGACACTGAATAGCCTGTGGCAGAGATTAACGAATGAGATAGACACAATAACAATATTGTCTAGAAGGGAATAGATCATTTTTCTTCCTCTCTCTTTTTAGATAGCTATGTATACTCAATGTTAACATATGCTAGCTTTTACCACTATTACTATTTGCTATGCATCATTACAGATGAGAGACAAGGTAGTATATTTTAAACACTGATGCACCGCAAACCCATTTCAGCTGCATCTTACAGCATATGTTAAAAGCAAATTAACAACTTGATTGTCAAAAATGAACCACAGAATTTAAATACAACACAAATCCACATTGATTTTTCAAGACAATACAGCCCCAAAAAATTAAACCAACTTTTATTTTTTATTGTAGTGTGTGTGTGTGCGGGGAAGGGGGTGCCTTCCTGCACTAATGCCTATTTCAAGAATATGCAAAGGATTAACTGTTATCTCAACCCCCCCACCCTGGCTAATGTGATACCAGATGGGAAATGAAACCAGTTCTGAGAAGATTAAACCATTACACATCAAACACCTCCTGTTGACACAGATGATCTCTCACAGCCAATGCAGAAGAACCAGACAGACAGGTAATTTCATATTGACGGTTACAGACTGAAGTCTCCTATGAACAGCTCTAGCTTTCCATGCATAAATAACAGGTGTGCACAGCAACAATTTTATCTACAAGAATATCAAGTGATTACGTTGTTCTGGACATTCTAAGGAGTCCTAAAATAATATTTTCTATGAAAGACAGCAAAAAAGAACAGAAAGAGAGAACAGAGCTCAGACGATTTACAGCACACTGCTGTTGCAGGATGGGACAAGTAGCCTCTTTCCACGTAAAAATTCAGACGCTCATCACACCTAAAAGTACAGCTGCAGACAGGACTCAAAATTAAACTTCTGAAAGAAGTCTATGCCATTCTTTTCTATAAAGGCACTGATTATGGCTAAAAACAATTATTTTTCTATTTGGCCAATTGTCTAAAATTGTCTAAAATACAGACATATCCTTCTACCTACTGCATATTTCAGATATTTTATATACAATGCCCCCAAATCCATCTAGCTGGCAGCTCATCTCAACAGAGACTGTCAATTTAAATGTACATCCGCAGGGCAAAATGAAATATTAAAATCGGTAACGCAGGGCAAAGAGTCCATATTAAAATTTGCCATGGCAGTTCCAGCGACGAAAGCTGGACAGATCATTTAGTGGGTTTCAAACTGCTATGGGACTCTCTAGACTGTCTCTGGGTCTAAAGGGTTCCTCAAATCTCCTCTGTGGCTGACAAGGCTATTTTTGTGCCCTACTGTCTTACAGGAAAATTCTGGAATGGCCTTTCAGAAGAGCAGAGACATTTAATAACATTCAATTCTAAAGTTCACTGCCTTACCAAGGTTATTTGAACAGCCCAAGTCGGTGAAGATTTATCCCCCTCTAAGCCATTGTCCACTGATCCACTACAAAAGCCCTCCTCTTACAATATAAGGCTTCCCATTAACTTAGTTACTGAATAACATGAGTCTCCCTGGTGTCAGCTTGATCACAATCATAGTACTCCTGTGTGCTGAGTGCAAGCCATTTGTTTGCACTGGCCTTAGAAGAGTCATGTCATTTGCTTTGTAAACTCCAGCTGTCCTCAAGGTCTGTTTTCATCTGCCTGATTAGTCATTAAAAGAAACAACTTCCCCCACTGTGAAAGGTCATTTATTCAGGAACATTTGGTCAGGACATATAAGAATGTAAATCGTGCTTTGTATCAGCAGCTCCATTGTGCTCTTCATCCACCTGAGAAAACCTGGCTATTGGAAACACTTAGTGCAGTATTAAAGAATACACAAAACAAAAAATTGCTGCCTTTAAATATTCAGGCAATACTGAAATAAAAGCCTAATGTTTTCTAGTCAATTGCAGCCTACAGACTATTACAGTCTGTTTTCTAGTCTATGGCAGCAACTACATTAAACATGTATTTGATTTACATAGATTGTCCTACCCAGGACACCTTATCTTATATCAGGGACAATCTGTAAAGCTTACTCCTATATTTCTTTACCACAGCAAAGAGGAGTTATCCTTATCTCCTCATCTCCTCAATTAGTTGTTTTGTTTTACAAAAAGTAACACAATGTGGCACATGACACCAAAGATGGAAATATATGAGATACATGCAATCATTAATGGATGTCTCTGACTATTTAAAGGCTTTAAACCTCACTTCACAGCAACACCGATGTCAATTTTAAGCACCATTGATATATTCACTGTTTTGTACTCCTTGGCTTATATTCGCATAGAATTTTAAAATTTCTGTACAACTCAGCCCTCTCCTGTCTCCATGTTTCTCCTTATACCTCCTCTCCCCCTGTTCTCTCCTGCTCTGACAGTCACTTTGCAGCTCCTTCTTGCCCCTCTTTTCCCTCTTGTGCTGCTTGCTCTCCTCCCTTGCACCCCCCTGTGGTAGAACCAGGTACAACAGGACTGCCTGCGTCCTCCTGGGACCAACCTTCAGATCTTAAAATTCATCCCTGAACTTGCTATACTCTGATATAATATAATATCCTTGCATTCCTTAACAGATGGATGTATACACTATTTGGCTGTGTAACCCTGCAGTAATAAATACAATAAAATTAATGTGTTATTTTTTATAGCCCTACAACTGTTTTGTATAAGGATATCTGCTAAGTAGCAGGAAAAGCAATAACTGTTTAAATATCTTAATTCATTTGAACACCGTAATCCACAAGCTTCCCCAGTTGACATCAGAAAAACGCAGAGCTTTGAACAAAACCCATTGTTACCCATCATAAAATGATGCTAATGTGAAATACAATTTAACAACAAGGAATCATGAGCAGAGGATAAAATATTTTAATATGGCTGCATGAGATACGTTACTGATTGTTCTCTTTTCATTTACATAGCGCAAGGTATTAATTGTCATTCAAAAGAATACACACTGTTGTAGTGTATCACTTTAACTCAAATGTCCTTTGGCTCCTATCCCCAAAATCTCCAGTAAATTAGGCCTTCATACACATATTTAGGCTCTGCCAAAAATATTTCCCATGGCCTATATTTTTTAAGAGCATTCTGAAAGGATTATTTTTACTAGGCACTTCTAGATTTTAGTCTCATAAGAACTTGGCTGTCTTGTCCTCTGTGTTGCCAGTTAAAACAAATGTAAGTGGATGGGCATCAATACAAGCTAAACGGAAAGCAGAACCCTCTGAAAAACCAAAGTGCTTTTTCTTCATCTTGTACCCTATTTCTAAAAAAAAAAACACTTTCTTCTTTGTAATGGCATTTTTTAACTCCAGTTGGAAAAATGAGGCAAGCACATATTAGATATATGAAAATATTAGACTTCCGTTATAATCAAAATTACACAAACTTTATGAATAAAAAATGGCTTTGCCATTAGCACATACATTATAAGCTCGTGCTCAGACATTACCACAGAGATTAAATGAAGAAACTTTTTAAAATGTGACCTAGGAGCTAATCAAATTTAAATAAAGATAAGTGGAATTCAAATGAACCAGAAAGCATCAGAAGAAAAAAACCAACCAAGAAAAAATTATACATAGTGGTTTTCTTCCACTACATCTCAATTTGCCTGGTATGCAAAACAAGCACACAAACATTGCCATCTTGTGGTTGGATTTAATAATGATTTTTTGACATTAGCAATTTGTCCTTCATATAACATGGAGAACCAGTTAGTTGCGCCTTTAGCAAAAAAACTATTTGTATATTGATTTGTGTTAGCTAGGCTTAACTGGAGAGAACCTGTGGTGTCACTATGGTTACGGCTGTAAACTTCCCGCCAGAACTGACAGCTGATGCCAACTGAAAAAACATCACTGTCTTGGGAAGGTCCCGTTTCAACTCACCCGCTGGTTACGTCATCGGTCCTGATGTTCTTCCCCAGTACATCCCCATCGCTCATGTACCCTGTGGCATCCATGTTGATGCCCTCTAAATCCAGCTCGTCGGCCTTGTCCGCGAGGTCGGTGCTGCACACCGCGCTGCCCCGGGACGCCAGCTGCCTCCTGAGCGGGGCCGAGTACAGGTACCTCCCGGATTCGGAGCTGATGAAGCGGCTGGCGTTGCCTCTGGGCGGGTAACCGTTCCCCATGGAGGGGGCGTCCCCGGCCTGCAGCCGGGGGCTGGACTGCCCCAGTCGCCACGACAACGGCGTAGGCCGGGCCGTCAGGCTGAGGATGCTGCGGCCGCTGATCTCCGTGGTGACGTTGCTGTCGAATGTGGTCTCCAGCGTGCTGGAAATGAAGGCAGAAAGGGCAAAGCATTCGCATCACGCAGCCAGCAAGACGCACGCACTTGTCCCAGCTTATCAGACAGCTCGTCATTCCTTTTTCCCATTTGCGCTTTTGGGTTTAGGCCTTTGTTTTACATGACAGAAAAGAAAAGATGAAAGAGCAGGCATATACAAAACAGAGCTTTGGCTTTGCAATAATTTTCACGACAGGGGAGCTAATGATAGAAAAAAAGCAAATACTGATATACGGGCCTTTTATGTTTTCCCTATTACTGGAGGTTAATATATTCCTGTCTGCCATTTCTAAAGGTTTGCACACTAGGAACCAGATACATTACCAAAAACAGACAGCCATTTCAGCGAGCCTGTTAACATCTGGCCACTGGCCAAGGTACAGGGAACTTTGGCTTTTATGTCACTGAATTTATTTACGACTGTGATATATCGAATACATAGAATTAATTATTTGGTTTCTGGTCTCAAATACTTAAAAAGCTTTTTAGTTTGAACACACCTACAAGCAAATCATATTTTCTATGCAACAATAGTACTTACAGCGTAATTAAATCGAACACTTCCAATAAATAAAAAAACACACGTTAAAATGAGTTTATGGAACATTCTAAGCAGAGCAGATCTTTGTGTAAAATATCCCTTTATAACCAAATATGGGAAACTCTTGCTGTACTGACTGGACTACTGATTGCAATGTGCCACAAAAACGATACAGATATAAACAAGTAGAGAGTTAAAGGGTCAACAGTCAGAATCAAAAGAATTCACTCTGTTCTGCGGGAGTCCAGATTGAAACCAAAAGCCACTTTTTAAACAATAGCTCTGGCTGCATTTCAGATTCTTTCATTCAGATAAAAAAAACGCTACTGAAAATATCAGCTGGCACTGTAGAAGCTTCGTTCTTCCCATTTCATCTTCTTGGGAAACAGAAAAAGGCTTTTGTAACAGCAAACCACAGGAGTCCACTTTAACCAGTCTAGCACAATTTCATGCTCGAGTTATGGGACAGAAACTCCGAGATGTACGAAGAGGACATTTTCAAAACAAGACCCCTGATGCATTCAGAAACTGTGAGCGCTTATATCGCTAAAAACTGAATGAGCCGATGTCTACTATCAAACTGCATGATGATTGTAATGTACTGTTATTGAGCTTCTAATGCCAGGGCATTTCTAAAGGCACATTTTATAGTGGCATATTGTACTGTCACTAGGAACAGACCACAAAGAGACTGTTGATAATTGTTGATAACTGCTGACTGCCAACGCTGCATAAATTGAACCTTTGCTTGCCTGATGTAGTATTTATAATTAAGCTTTGCTAGTCTAAAGAGACGTTTATGCTACTGCAGCTAACTGCTTCCTTTAACAGACATTAGCTTGGAAAACACTAATTCTAAATGGACAGTAGATGGCAATCTCCACATTGCCAAACCCAACAGTTAATTCCTTCCAGATTGTAGTGCTCAGCATTTCAAATTAGTATCTCTGCCCACAGGAGCAATGAAACTTATTACTAGTACAAACAGTACCACCCACAGTTTCTCTTTAAAGTCGTCACACAACATTTGTCCTCCACAGCCTAGAAAACCCTTTGATAATTTATGACCCCAAGAGGGGCTACTGCTACCAATTCAACTTCTGATTTTAACTTTTAGCTTGCCATGTCGACAAAGACGGAGATTCACTCAGCGCACATTGACAAACTGCCAAGTGAAAATCATTTGAAGTTGGTGCTGGGATGAATCTGGGACAGACCTGTGGGTTATCTGAGTTCCCCGTAAACTGGACATGGTCTCCTCCAAGTTCTGTCGAAGGTCAGCGATGTTTTTAACGGTTCGCAGCCTTCGTGCCTCTGGGTCTTCTCCTGAAACAAATTGAAATTGTTACACAGATCATTACAGCTGATTGTTTACAGCAGTCTGATCGAAAACCATGACTAACAGAGCCATCTGCTGGCTATAGGTTGAACGTTCCAGCAACCAAGTACAAGGGCACTTAAACTCATGGGTTACTATAAAAATACAGGTTCCAAAAAGTTAGTTATATGAATAAGAGGATATAATAAAGCAGGAGCGAATGAAATGGATCATTTGAAAAATGTCAATATGCAAACTCACTCTAAGTCATTAATCTGTTATACTGTATAAATGATCAAACCTACTTTTTTAGTATTGTGATCAAAGGTGCAAACTTAACCAAAGTCAAACAGAAGATTATAGCATTTGGACAGTGGAAGGGTCCCTGTTGTGACATTGTAGTAACTGCAGAATTGAAATTTAGCCTTCCAGGAAGCTGAAATTACACAAACAATTCCACCCATAGTTCTAAACCTTGTAAAGAAGTGCGATGATTGTTCAAGGTCAGCTACATAAAAAAGTACATTTTAAAAGCTTGCCTCTCAAAAAAAGTCTCCATAACGGCAAATATTATCTGACTTGCCCTCTCTTTGCCTTATTTCACTTTAAGAGTATCTAGCCTTTACACTTTTGCCTGTGGATAAGAACTAACATTTCACTTACGTTCAAATTTCTGGTAAATATCGAGCATTGTCAGCAATATCTCTTCATTCAGACGAGCTATTCCATCCCAGACGCAAGTCTGCTGTACATGGAATTGATATAGCCGGGTTCTCTTGGTGGGATCTATGCTGACATTTTGCCATGTTACCCTCTTAGTAGCAGATTGTGTCCGTTCGGTCTCTGCGTTGCTTTTCCTGCTGACCGGTGGCCTACAGCTGCCCTTTGGCATAACTCCGCTCCTCTGTCCACCTGCCATGCCAGCTGAAGGCTGCTTTAGGATTCCCAATAACTTTGGCGCAGTGAAGACGGGGTCAGGTACCTGACACACAGGTGTGCTGTTTAATGGCCTGGGCTGGAGACTGGACTTGCTGAGCCCAACGCAGCTCAGCGACAACTTTGACTTTGAAGGAGTTCTGTTCTTCACACCAGTCTCGTTTTGCAATCTTTCTGTAGAACAGCCACTATGTTTGATTACAGCTGCCTTCTCTTTCTGACGACGCATTATTCTTCTTTCACAAACGAAGCGAACAGGGAAGGAAAGGCACAGGCAGGTAACCTCTTAATCCTGTGCTTTTTTCGGCAGGTCGTTTCTGATGGCTACATCGGTTTGCCCCGCAGTGGAAGAAGCTGGATATCTCCTTATATTTAAAGTCAGAGCAGAACTTTTTAGCCCCCTCTTTGATGCTGAATATTTTTTGCCCTTGCTGAACAGCAGCGAAGTGTGGCTCAAGCTGGAGAAAGCTGCTACCTTGTTCAGAAAACGTTTATGTCCAAGGGCTGCTTTTCGTGCAACTGAGGCCAAGGACTGCTTTAACAGACAGCAAAAAGTCCTGTTGGGCCGGCCAGCCAGTCACACAGAGCCTATCTTGTGTAAGAATCCTTAGCAACTATATGACATCACCAGAGTCTTTCACTCTCATTCAGCCTTTAACATGCAGATTAGCCCCTTTCTTCCTTTCACCCCGTTTAGCCTTTATTTCCAGGCTGTCATGGCACTGGAAGCTGCGCAGGGCACAAAACCCAAATAACTTGCGCTCAGGCTCACAGGCATGTCTATTCAACCCGCTGGGGATTTACTTATTAAATCAGTCAAATACAAAAAAAAAAGCTTCACCTCAGTTCACTTAAAAAAAGCAATAAAAGTTGCCCAGCATTCCATTCAACCTTCCTCTGTCTGTCACTCCACAACATATAGACGTCAAAATCACAAACTGCTCAGACAAGCACAGTTCAGAAAAGGGCGATTGTTTTAGTGTTTACAAATATAACTGAATTCACTATTTAGCCAATTTCCTCAATGTTATACAGAAAAGTTTTTTTTTTAAATTATATTCATACGTGTGATACGATTTTCTGTGTACTGTTCTGTTCTAGTTTGTTCTTGTGTGTCCGGACTGTGAGTAACTCTTGTATTGTATTGTATGTATTGTACTATTATTATATAATTCGTTACACTGTGGCTGTGTTGTGTGTGTTAAGCTGCTGTTGCACTGCAATTTCCCTCACGGGATCAATAAAGTATCTATCTATCTAATTACAGGAAGGGAAATGGACTGATCAGAAGCAGCCAGAATCAAACTGTTTAACATTCAAGATTTCAATGTGCTCCATTATATTATTGAATGTGAGTGAGAACGACATTAATATTTTAACTTCAGCCAGACACCTCCATGTTGTCTGAATGGACTGGTTCACCTCTGCTCTCCATAACTGTCACAGTGAATTAGGAGATTACTCCCAGGTGACAGCTCTGAAAAGACTGCCCTCTGCTGGAGGTTTCGAGGCTTCTGCTCTAACAGAGACCTAAAGAAACAGGAGTGGACACAACACGAGGCACTGAACAAGCCGCTACCATCAGACAATGCAAAGGCCACTTTCATCACTTATCATCACTTGCAAGAAAAAAAAATACATTTGTGAGAAAAAGGAATAAAATGCTTATCAAATTTGTGTTGCCTAAGAGTGGTATTTAAAGCTATCGCTCAGAAAAGTGACATATTCAAAACACTATAGAAGCCCACGTTCAATATCAAATCCATGTACAGGCATCCTGCTGAACACATCTTGCATTCCAGCACTACATGCATTTAGTCCCTGAAAGCAGAAGGGATAACACACAGACAGCTCCACAGGCCTACCTGCAAGATCCTCCACACAGGGTTGTCCTGGTTTATTGTAGGTTGCAGGATCCACATTGCCTCCTCCTGACCCAGACTCAGTCATTGTATTTCCCTCAATGTCTGTCTGTGACCTACAAACCCAGTAAAAGTATGTTTTCAATGCGGGAAGAAAAAGCTCGTACCAACTTACCCAGAGTGCTTCCTACCAAAGCAGACTCATTTTACATAATTCATTAGTCCCATGTCGTGCTACGCCCTGCTAACAGAATGGTTCATCCATCCATACAAATCTTCTAGACATAGTTAAGCACTTCTGGGCTGTAACTGTGCTTCTAGGATAAGAAATATTCATTTAAAATGATCAAAAACCTAAAACACAAAAGACCTTCAGCTGAAATATGCGACTGTGTTTGTATCAAAAGAAATAGTGACCAGCAGCAGGCTCTGACCAACATGAATGTGAGCAATTGCATTCTATTTATGTACAAAGAATGAATTCTTCATTATTTCCACTGAATGCAATGAAGTAAAACCCACTCCTGGAGTTTTCTTTAGCTGAAACATTATGCATTTAACAGGATTGGTTGTATTCATTTTTGTCTTAATAATATAATCCTTAGTTTGGAAGATAATATGTTTTGCCAGTTTAATAGTAGTAGCAGTAGCAGAAGATTAGTAAATTTGAGTAGACATAGCCTAAAGACACCTATGGAGTTTAAGAAAACAAATGAAGGGAACCGATTTAATGACCAATTTTGAACCACACACTGGCTGGTAATATTTCCCATCTTCAAAAAACATAGAAGCAGAAACAGTTAAATTTTGCATATAGAAAAGGGTCAGAAGACCCACTGTGGCTCTTTTTTCATTTACTTCATAACATGTTCCCAAGTGTTTCAACTCAAAACTACGCAAACAGAAACTGTGAACTTCTAACTCCAGGCTGAAGCCTCCCATTCATCAGCATGAGTAAAGCCTCTGCCCCAAGTGCTTTATTTTGAATATAAACAATTCACAGAAGTGAAAGTCAGCAAAGCTCATCACAGTCAAGTCAGAATGCATACTGTGTGCCTGTATTAATCTGCTGCTGACTGTCTGCCTCTTGCTACAGCAGGAACGGTCTTTTTTAGAGCTCCTTACCTATACATAAACGGTGCTACAGTGGCTGTGTTGGGGTGGTTGTATTGCTGCTGAGGATGAGGTAGCTGAACACTGATTGTGTTACTTCCTGTGGTCTGAGTAGTGCTGGCTGTGCTGGCTGTGGCCCCGGTGCTGGGTTGCTGAGCTCCCGTGACTGCCTTCCCTTCAGAGGAGGCCAGGCTGGAAGAAGAGCTAGAATTCCGACCGTCCAGCTGACCTTTAGGTAGAGAAATCCCGGGGCCGAGCTTCACGCTGCGGGGCCTCTCCCCATCTTTCCCGGAGGAGGAGGAAGGAGCACCGGCAGATTTCCCCCCCACCGGAGCCTTTGTCGTACCGGGTTTTGGTATGCCACTGTGTGCTGGCGCTGAGCTCTCTTTTTTGGCACTGCTGACCTTCCCCCCTTTGGGAATAAAGCTAGCGATCTTGGAAGTCTTCTTGGGTTCTACCACCGCCGGCCTGACCGGCTCGTCTTTGGGTTCGTCCTTCACTTCTGACTTTTCGGTCACCGACACCCTCTTGGACGTCTCCTTCGCCTTGTCCTTGTCCTTGTCCTTCTCCTTGTCTTTCTGTTTCTCTTTGTCCTTCTCGGCCGCCTTCAGGGAGCTCTTCTTGGCCGTCAGGGCCCTGCTGAAAGTCCTCTGGGCGATGCCCTTCAGAGCAATCTTGGGGCTGCTGGTGACTGCTCCCGTTCCATTGATGCAGCGTCCCGATGGATCGAGATCATCCACGCTTTCGGTGTTAGAGGCGGCCTCTACTTTCTCCGGAGCAGTATCCCTGGACACAGCGATATCAGGGGGCGGTCCAGCTGACTTGGAGCCCCCTTTAGTGTTGAACAGCTTTAATTTTTCCAGCATTGATTTCTGCCCATTGGGAGTCGACTTGACGGCTTCTGTGGGGGGCTTGGGCGGCTCCTGGCTGGGCTGCTTCACGGAGAGCATGGAAGACGTGGCGGTGTGCTTTGCATTGAGGGACTTGCTCCTCCAGGGCTTGTTAGCAGAATTGGGCTGGGGGATGGCCGAAGAGGAGCTGCCGCTGATGGTGCTCGTGCTGCTGCTGCTGCTCATGGGAACTGAAGGCTGTGCATTTTCATTCATGCCTGGTTGCTGTGTGGTCGTGCTGTCAGCCGGCTCTGGGAGGAGAATAAAAAACAAGTTTACATAAAAAGTGGCGGCTATAATAGCTACCCATAAAAGGAAAACCACTCTTCAGATGGCTCACATGGATATCTCAATTGTTAACATTATTCCTCTGTGTCATACGTTAGGTTGTGACCCATTAGGGGAAAAAAAGAAGCAGCAGCTTTAGCCTGCTTTCTCAAACAGAAGCCTTTAAACTATAAGAACAGAATTCTGAAAAACACAGTAAAAACAATGTGTTTATATCCCTGTTGAGTAACTATTTCTGTCATAAAATGCAGGAATATGAATTAGTTATGTATATTTATTATGTAAAGCTTTTCCTTAAATAACATTTACATGACCATCAAGGATTGCAATACCCAGCAGAGTTTTCAAAGAACCTTTTCTTTAAATTATACAGTTGCAGACTTAATTTGTCATTTTTGGCTTAAGTTCTATGTGATACAATTTCCTCATTGCACCTAAACATATACCCAAACAAAATAAACGACTCCGGATTCAATTTTTACTAATTAAGCTTGTTTTGACAGTAACCACAAGAATTTAGCTCTTAAACAACAAATCTCAGATTGTGGCACGGTACTACTTCTGTTAATAATAATAACAGAGATCACTAGACATTAGAAATACCTCTCCTCAAAGAGACGCCAATATGTTTTTAGAAAGATAATACAGAGTGAAAAAGGTCACTCTCTGTTAAGACTTAATTTATGGAATGACAAATATGGATAGTTCAGTTGAAGGTTACACCTTGGCCCTTAGGTTAGAAACCGAAGAGTGTTAGAATAATAAGAGTTTAGAAAAAAATTAAAACCTGAAGCCATTCAACTCTCCATAAAACAATTCAGAGGTAGCTTTCAACCTAAGCCTTCAAGCCTACTCTAAAGCAACTGCTTGAATAAGGTTAATAGAAAATTCTTGTGTCTGCAAAACTTACCTTTCACACTTTCTTTACCAGAAAGCAGCTTCCCAGGATGTATGTACACAGAATCATTGCCTACTCTCAGTGTCACCCTTTTTTCAAGAGAGGCTTAATATAAGGCAGATGGTTGAAAAAATTAACTGCTTTTAACAGACATGCACCAGTAACAGTAACCTATCCGTAGAAGACATTTAAAATTCAAAAAAAAACTGCAGAAGAGTTTGTGTACATTTTCAGAGACGCCAAGCTGTGAGACCAGTGCAGTAAATTTAAGGGGAAGACTGTTCTCCTTATAGCCACTGTTTCTCCTCACCCAGTCACTGCAGGGGATTGATCCAGTATCTTCAGAAGTATGATTATATCCAGATCCCATTGAACTGTCAATATATATCCACCGTCTCCAGAAGAACACAAGTAATAACGCTTCCGGGAGGAGGGGGAGTGGGAGATCAGATTTCACCCCCACGACTCTCTGCATAAAGTGAATGCGATCCCAGTTTTTAAAAATATACTACAGAAAACATTCAGCATTCCTCTTTCCACACCGATCTGTGTAGCACTCACTGCCCTTATGGCACCCCCTCCCCTTGTCTGGCATTGCTTTTGTACAAAAAAAAATTCCAACACTTAGAGGTTTTAGGCCTTAGGCAAAAAAAAATCAACCGAATTATCTTGTGAACGGTTATCCATTAAACCGAAACTTACTACTCACAGTACATTGTTGTACTATAAAATACTATACTATAGTATATAAAATACTATAAAATAATGATTTTTAGTTTGCTTCTGTTTATACTGTGTATCTGCACACAAAAAATCACCAATATAGGGGTGCGATGAGAGAAAATGTTTTGTGTATTGCGAAGTTCTGTGTAAAGCTTCTAGACTGCTCAGTGAGACAAGCTAACTAGGACCACAAAGGACTTATGAGAAATTCTACATGCCTTCCACAGTATATGAATAAGCTCAGATGAACTTCTGTTTTAGATTTATTAGAAGCATTCAAGCTTTCAAATTCATTTGGCAACGTTCATTTTTTAGCCCATTCCAAAGCAAGTGTTAGGGGTAATTCAAGGAGCAACAATTAGGGCCGATAACTGAAAACAAAAATCTTTTTAACACTTTTCACGTTACAAACGTTTCAAAAAATGCTATAACTACAGTATTAACATACATATAAAGGATATATATCAATGAAAACATGCTCAACCACTAAGTATTTTGTTATGTTACAAATAAAACATAATGTCTATTACTATGAATAAAACCTGAGTAGTGTGCTGGTTGGAACTTCTTAAACTACACAACTTTTTTCAAGTGACTTTCAAAACCTCCATCCATTTTCCAACCACTTCTCCCAATTCAATTCAAGCAAAGGGGCAAGGCACTTAATTTCATTTTCATAAGTAAAAGAGCACAGCCAAAATCTGGTGGACAAATGCTTAACCCATTGTCATAGCTCAAAATTAATTAATTCATGACATTTCATAAAAACTCTTAGAATAAATTTACCCAGAGATTAAGGTCAATATTTAATAAAAGCTTAACTCTTTCAGTACAAGTCTGGATTCTATGTGCACATTATTTGCACCTTTAAATAATTAATGTGCCCTAATTAGTAAAACACTCCACTTCCTTTCACTTGCTTACTTAATTTCTAATTATGAAGCAGTCACACAAAGTAATTAGAAAAGTGATTTAGATGAATTAACCATGCCAACAGCCAGAAAAGTAGGTCAAATTGCTAACAGCTTCCTATATAAATACTTGAATAAAAGACCGGTTGTAATTATCAGTGTGCTGAAGCAGTTCAATGCAAACACTGACTGTGCTCCCACGTTCTGGGAAACTGGAGTTTCCTTTTGCCAAGTTACAATCCTATCCACACAGAAGCCACAATAAAAGTACCATTTAATAGCTCTTTGGAAGAGCTTGGTAAATGAAGTTCACCACACACACAAAAAAAATCTTTCAGGATTGCCAGTATACCATACCACTAGGTTCAACAATAATGCAATAAACCAATAACTAGAGAAAACTACAAAGAACATTCATAACAGAATCGGTTTACCAGACAAATTTGTTTGGAGTTAAATATGTTCCAATTTCACAGATATGATAAGAGAACACTGTACAGTAAGTGTTCTGCAAAACTCACAATAGGCACTTAATTCAAATGTTTGGATGAATCCAATACTTAAATAATACAACCACAATAATCCATTGTTCGCCACTAATTGTTCTAAAATTGGGCTGCAAATCAGTTGGCATAAAACATTTTGTAATGTTTCAGTATGAAAATGAACTAGGGATCTTGCTTTAAATTTAATCATCTGATTGAGTTGCTGCTCATTCTCGCATGCAAATTGTTAAGGATTCTATACTGAATAGAATAAAAAATAACCACCAATACACAATCTGCATCAAAGAATACAAGACATAAATATAATAATAAAATATATTTTAACGCGCTTAAATAAGACAAAATGTTCAGCTGTATAATATAAAATCAGAACATCTCTAAACTCTTTTACTCCTAACTTCCAAGCCTCATAACTCTCTTTTCTTTAACCTCAGTGGCTCACAGGATGTGGTCTATTAATGCAAAGACCCTTCACTAGGATTGGAAATTAAATTGTCAGGCCCAGCAGGAGCACTGAACTGTTCCTGATATCATCATGGGATCAGTCAAATTACTGGCATATCCGGCTGTGAAAACCATAACCGCCACTGCAGCTTTCTGATATACTGTATATGACCTGATTTTTTAAGGTCAGGTGAAAGCAATTCTAGTTGCCAAAAACATTGAGCATGCCATTTGTTACACAATGAAAAAGAGTATGAAAATAGTTTTTCTTAATACATTATTAAATTCTTACAAAATCAACATTGCAACATTGATATGAGTCATATACTGAAGATGTTTCCAAAATAACAATGAACATGCAGTACAGTATTACGGTCTTTATGTTAAGCTGTTCAAGGACCTGGCAGTTTCAAAGTCTTCAGATTTTGATTTTTCAGCTAAGAAATAATTTCAGTCACCTTAAAGGAAGACTTTTGTGGGCTTCAAAGTTTATGATGTTTCTGGGGGAAAGATACAGTAATTTACATAGAGGAATGTTTAATCACATCCCTGCAACTAATGCTGCCTTGATAAATCTTTCCACATGGAAGTACAGAACCTCTCAGTCATTGTGCTCTTTCAAGTGAGTTAGACAATATCCTCTTGTTCTAATTTCTAAAACTGAAAAGTTACTCCACATGAATAAACATGAATACCAGAACTAGAGCTAAGCTCTATTCAGTATTTCCTTTGTAAAGCAAACAAAATCTTATTAATAAGGTAAAGACTCATTTGGTTTTTTTAAGTGCAATTTTTAAAGTTCAAAGTCTGCTACATAATATATACTATACACATTTAAAGAAAATTTAGAATAACAAAAACTGCAGAACAAAACCCACTTGAGGAGAATAAAATAATATATTTTCCAAATGAAGATAACATTTACATTGTTCATTGATGGTCTCTGTTACATGTGACGTGCACAGACAAGCTCATGATGTGCTCACTAGGACTAACCAAGTCTGGAGTGACGTGGACAGTTTTCAAACAGCAAGAGTTAGTATTATTGCCTGCATACCAACCCTGAAGAAAAAAAAATGAGGTCAGGCACCATCTTGGTTTCTGCAGGTAAATTTAGCACTGGCCAAACACAATTTGAGCAGGAAAAGACTGCAGAATGGGCCATGATTCATCCACGAACAGTTCACGTGCTGTAACAGGTGTGATAATAAACACAGCAACTTGCAGTTGCAAAAAAAAAAGTTAAGTTGTTGATGAAGCCTTTCAAGATGCAATTCAAATAATGAAATGGTTCATAAGATGATTTTGGAAGCATATTGAAATACCCTAGTGAGACTACCACCGCTTGACCCAAAGGACTCAAATATTTGGCACACATTTAATGACTTATCTGTCCAAGTATACCTGTCCAACCTTGGAACATGAGAAGATTTGGAAGCGAGAAGAGAAAAATCCTTAAAAATCACAGCCTAAAGCCACAC